TTGTTTCATTTGAAACGAATTTTGTCTCTTTCGAATCAGTTGCTTTGGAAAAACTTATCTTTGAGTTTATTTCACTTGAAATAAAGCAAATATCTTTGAGATCGTTTCTCTTGAAATGAATTTCGTCTCCCTTGAGACAATTTTTATCAAAATCCAATCTTTGAGTTGGTTTTCTTTGAAACCATTATCCTAGAGATAACCAGCCGTCCTCGTCACGTAGGAACCGTGTTATCACCTTTAGATGGCCAGAACTCTTCATCACGTATGAGCCGTGTCATTCCCCGACCAGATCTCTTCATCACGTATGAGCCGTGTCATTCCCCGACCAGATCTCCTCATCACGTAGGAGCCATGTCAACCATAGATAACCAGCCGTCCTCATCACGTAGGAACCGTGTTATCACCTTTAGATGGCCAGAACTCTTCATCACGTATGAGCCGTGTCATTCCCCGACCAGATGTCCTCATCACGTAGGAACCATGTCACCCTTAGACGACAAGAACTCTTCATCACGTATGAGCAGTGTCGTCCCCAACAACCAATATTATCCAATTTCTATGTATAAATGGAAGAGAACCAGACAAAAACGTGTTGTCTTATCATCTTTGCCCTATTCTTGTTAACACAAGAATGTGCAAAGAGGGGCAGCTGTAGACACCCGTTTTTGTCCGGTTTTTTTTATCGTTATTTTATTATTATTATTATTATTATTTATTATTATTATGTTTATTAATTACATATTACAATTTTTGCAGGCCAAAGGCCCAATCCCGGAGCCCAACAATCAACCCATCAGATTAGGGTTTCAAACCCTAAATCAGATTAGGGTTTCAAACCCTAAATCAGATTAGGGTTTCAAACCCTAAATCAGATTAGGGTTTCAAACCCTAATCCCCTAAATGATCCAGCCGCCGCCGCCAGCAGCAAGTGAACAGCCGCGCCGCCGTCACTGTTCCGGCCCGTCTCGCTCCACTCCGATGGTCCAGCCGCCGTTCCCGCGCCACCATCGTCATCTACAGTAAAAAAATCAATCAAACAGCAACCCCATCAACCCAAATCAGAAAAAATATATATCCAAATTCTAAATAAAAAAATCCCTATAATCCCGAAAATCCGGGATTCAATCCCCCTAAATCAACAACCCATAATTTCCCCTATTCCTAGACCTCATCATCTCAACCAAATGCAGGATTAAAGCACATGCAGTAGAGAAAGGAGGATTGGGGGGTTGAGGTTTGAAAAAACAGAAGGAATCCGAGAAAACAAAAAAAAAATATGAAAAAATAAAAAGAAAAAGGAAAGAAGAGATTACTTTTCGTGATACCTCTGCCGTGGGCTTCGCCGAGACCAAAGCTAGGCCACCGCACCGAAGGTAAACAAAAGGGGTTATCGTTTTTGGTTTAGGGTTGAGTGTTTCAAGGGTTTTGAGCGATTTAAACAGAGGATAGAAGGAGAGTTTAGGGTTTTATTCGTATAACCCCGTGGCCACCGATTCACGGTGGCCGGGGTTTTCTTTTCTATTTCGGCAACAAGAAAGGGGATTGAGGGTCTTTAGGGGTCGGTTGCTCAATAATTGTTCCACTTCTGAGAGTGATGGTACTCACATTCTCCCGTGGGTTTGCTTCAGTCTAGGAGGGAAGCTTGCCGTGTGATTTTAAGAGGCCCACGGTTTGTGCCAATTGATTGATTTGTTTGTCAATTTCTTGTAAGTGTGACTCTGTGCGATTTTAAAATTTTTCTTGGGATTGTGCCAATTGTTCCACGAGCGACTCGAGTGAACTCTTTGGTGGTTGATATGTTACGATGGAGCTAGCCGCAGTTGGTAAGTTTGATTCAGCCTCTGATTTTGCGCATAGCTGAAATTAGGATGATCTTACCACCCTGGATTGTATGTATTTCTATGGGTATTATAGGGCCTTTGGGGAGGTCCCGAAAAATTACCCACGTCATTCACTTGTGCGCTCACTTCTTCTTGTAGTGTTGGGCAACAATCGGTTGGGTGGTTTGGCATCGTACAAATCCCACATACTTTGGTCGATCTGTTTCTTCCTGCAACAAAGGAATTAACAATATTAGTTAATTTATCAATCTTATTTTCCAGTGAAATGGTAATTACCTCGTGAACCCGACAGCTAGGTTCACTCTTGGTGCCAAACTACTGAGAGTTGGTTGTCATCGATGAAATTAACTCTATTTCTTGGTTTGATGTCATGTTGACGAGAGCTCCCCCACTAGAAGTGTCGATCATTTTTATCTCCATGGGAAACAAACCTTCATATAAATATTGTAGAAGTGTCTATTTGGTCAATCCGTGTTGCGGACAGCTCGCACATAGCATCATGAATCACTCCTAGTAGTCGTAAAGTGACTCCTCATTCTTTTGTTTAATTTCTAGGATCTTTCGCCTCAGTTCGCTTGCCTTCGCTGCTGGAAAAAACCTGTTAAGAAAAATCCGATTTGAATCAGCCCAAGTATTTATCGAATTTGGTGGTAAGTAAAATATTCATTCTTTTGCAATGCCAAAAAGAGAAAATAGAAATGTTCGTAATTTAATTTGGTCTTTGGATACTCCTTGAGGTTTCATGCTTGAACAGACCAAATGAAATTCGGCTTGGTGTTGTTGCAGACTTTCGCTAGGAAGACCGTGAAAGGTCGAAAGTAAATGTATCAAAACCGTCTTGAGTTTAAACTGTATTTCTCCTTGAGGGAAATCGATGTAAAGTGGTTGTTGTACCGCAGGAGCTGTAGCTAGTTCTCGGATAGTTTGATCACCCATTGGTTTTGGGTGTTGTACGTTGTGTGACGAATCTGCAATGGATATGTTATCGGTTTCGATTGAGTTGGTGGATTGCGAAGAATTTGTTGATTCCTCGTATGTGGCATCAGTTGTATCTTTGGAACTTGCTTGTTCTTGTCATTTCTTTCTTTTCTCCCGAAGTGTTTGACCGTGAATTCGTCTCACTCGTGCTTCGATTTCTAGATCAAATTCTTCTAATGTGCCAGTAATCTTCTTGGTCATAAATCAAAAACAAGAAAATTAAATCAATAATTCTTCCAAATCCCCGGCAACGACTCCAATTTTGTCACGCGTCGTTATTATGTCAAAATAAATAGCCTTAATATCAATAAAATAAAAAAGAATAAGTAGAATAGTGAGAGTAAGGGTCGATCCATAGAGACTAAGAGTTTGATGATTTCATCGCTTTTGATCTTACTTCAGGCGTGATTTGTAAAAGAAATTAGAGGTGAGATTTTGAAGAGTTGAAGTGAAGAAATAAAAATGATTGAAATAAAATAAAATAGTATACAAGGACCAACCCCTGTAACTTATTTTTTTCTCAAATGAATCGATAATCTAAAATCAATTTTCAGATCTCAACTCTTTGTGAGTTAATAGCAACAATCGCTTATTAATTCAACGCTTTTGAATTCTGGAAAAACCCGACTCGGATTTTATCGTCTCAATTGAGAATCTAACCCGATTTCAATTTCCCTTAGCGGACCGCCGCTAAGTGTGTTCATAGGAAGTCGAATGTGCCACAAGCCGATCCTTCCTCCCAACTATTAATCGAAACCTAAATTCAATTCCAACGTGCACTTTCTGAAATGAAATCACTTTGATTGTAAAAAGATGGTCGATTACCGATCCTTGATTTCTAAAAGCTGGAAATGTAACCCTTAAGGGTATGAAGCGCTTTTCGATCCTCACGACTTAGAATCGAGTAATTGCTTTAGCATTTGGCTATGAAAAACTTAGTTAAGCATGATTGAATTCAAGTTTAGTATTTTAAGAAAGTAAACTAAAAACTTGAAAATGGAAAAAAACTTTTATAAAAACTTAAAGAAATAAACAATAGTTGAATGAATTCTGAATGAAGACATTGATGATTAGAGGCTTACCCCAATGGGGTATTTATAGTCCTCAAAAAAACCTAAAAGATAACATTTAAAACTAAAAAGATAATTCCTAAAATAAAAATAAAATAAATCCTAATTTGAATTCAAAAATCCGACTGAGTCTTTGATCTTCACGCCACTGCTAACTGGATCTTCTAGAAGCTACTGATTGGGCCTTCTAGAAGTTTTTGACTGAGCGCCATGTCACCTACCACGTCATCACCCGTCATCTGCCACATCAGCTGTTGACTAGATGCCATGTCGGGTGTGTCATGCCCCAAGTCGTGCCCACTAATCCGGCCATGAATCCAGAAAAATAAAAAATTATACCATTTCCTAATCAATGAGTAATTAATCATAAAATAATATATAACTTAAACACTAATCAGTGACCATGTGTCGATTACATATAATCCCCATGAACACATCCTATGTATGATCATCGGCTACCACATGTTGGTACATGTGATCTCATTCAATATCAATGTTGTTACATATAATCAGTCTACACTATCATTTCCTAGGACGTCTAATCAATATTAATGTCACGACAACTCACACCGAACAGAAACACCATAAATAATCATATAATAGAATACGAGGACAATAACATATTTTTCTTTTAAAAAAAATCAGATCAATACCATCAGAACCACCATCTTACTATCATCTTATCGTTCACTTTACCAATCAATAATTTTCATGACACGTTAAGGAGAACTCTATCCATTCTTCTTTTAGCTATGCTTTTTTTTTTAATTAAATGTTGATAATTTACTTTTGAGGGAGGGATATTACTAATCTATACTTGAGAGAAGCCGAAGGGTATGTTTCTGTATCTAGAATGCTCATTCTTTTCTGCAATTTTTTCGTGTAGCTCCCGAATCTTCACAAATTGTTGTCAGATATTTTGGCTTTGTTAATAGTATCTTACCATCTATAAGTTGTTTGTGCATGTTGATGGAAATCTATGATCATTTTTTAGGAACATAGCTTTTTTTCATTGAAGGTCTGAGGGTTCAGAAGGGAATTTAATATAATGGCTATAACAATCTGAAATTTCTAGTTCCGCAGACATTATTCTCCTGGATCATAAATTGTTTTGTTATTGATAGCTGCTTGGAATGCTTACTAATTGGCTCTTCCCTACATTGATTACTGGTTTGAGTTTAATGAGATGCTTATTTTCAGGACATTGAATCAGTAATTAAGGGAAAATTTGATGCTGTCCTCGACACCATTGGTGTGCCCGAGACGGAAAGAATCGGCACCAATCTTTTGAATAGAGGCGGGCACTATATGACACTTCAGGTAAGAGGTGGAACCTCATAATAATTGTTACTCTCAGAAGAGCAATCTCTTCTTCAAACCCTTTCTTGTTCATTTTTATGGCTACACAACAAGAATTACGGCTCTTTGAATCGCTGGAGTTCGCCGCCTGGATTTTTATCCTAGCCTGGTGCAAACCCTTTAAGAGCCTGTAGACACCCGTTTTTGTCCGGGTTTTTTTTATCGTTATTTTATTATTATTATTATTATTATGTTTATTAATTACATATTACAATTTTTGCAGGCCAAAGGCCCAATCCCGGAGCCCAACAATCAACCCATCAGATTAGGGTTTCAAACCCTAAATCAGATTAGGGTTTCAAACCCTAAATCAGATTAGGGTTTCAAACCCTAAATCAGATTAGGGTTTCAAACCCTAATCCCCTAAATGATCCAGCCGCCGCCGCCAGCAGCAAGTGAACAGCCGCGCCGCCGTCACTGTTCCGGCCCGTCTCGCTCCACTCCGATGGTCCAGCCGCCGTTCCCGCGCCACCATCGTCATCTACAGTAAAAAAATCAATCAAACAGCAACCCCATCAACCCAAATCAGAAAAAATATATATCCAAATTCTAAATAAAAAATCCCTATAATCCCGAAAATCCGGGATTCAATCACCCTAAATCAACAACCCATAATTTCCCCTATTCCTAGACCTCATCATCTCAACCAAATGCAGGATTAAAGCACATGCAGTAGAGAAAGGAGGGATTGGGGGGTTGAGGTTTGAAAAAACAGAAGGAATCCGAGAAAACAAAAAAAAATATGAAAAAATAAAAAGAAAAAGGAAAGAAGAGATTACTTTTCGTGATACCTCTGCCGTGGGCTTCGCCGAGACCAAAGCTAGGCCACCGCACCGAAGGTAAACAAAAGGGGTTATCGTTTTTGGTTTAGGGTTGAGTGTTTCAAGGGTTTTGAGCGATTTAAACAGAGGATAGAAGGAGAGTTTAGGGTTTTATTCGTATAACCCCGTGGCCATCGATTCACGGTGGCCGGGGTTTTCTTTTCTCTTTCGGCAACAAGAAAGGGGATTGAGGGTCTTTAGGGGTCGGTTTTGCTCCCCATGGCCACCGATACGGTGGCCGGGGAGCCTCTGTTTGGTTGTTGCGGCGAGGGAGAAAGGAGAGTAGAGAAAGGGAAAGGAAAGGAGGCTGAGAGAGGGGTGAAAATGATTTAGGGTTCGGTTAATAACCCTAAAATGGGATTATATCCCAGTTTCAAAAACGACGCCGTTTAGAGGTTTCCGTGTTTTCATATTAAGGGGTAAACTACTCTTTTGGTCCCTGTTACTTTGTAACCGCACGATTTGGCCATGGAATGAAGTTTATATTATTTCAATTTGAGCCTTTATCTTTTCATTTTTATATTTTAGTCACTATCCTAGGTTATAACATTTTTGTTTATATTTGGTTCTGGTTTCAGTATTTATAAATGTTACATCTTCGCCACTGATTTAATATTTCATGTATGTTTCTTTGATATTCGAATCTGGCCATCACATTTATAAATATTTTATTTTAGTCCTATTAATGTATGTTATGTCATTTTTGTGGATATTTGACTTTGGTCCCCATGTTTGTAATAGTTTCATTTTAGTCACTAATTTCGTGTGTTGTGTATTTTTGTGAATGTTTGACTTTGGACAGAATATTTATGTATTTTTACATTTTAGTCACTGTTGGGTATTTGGTTTAATTATTGCTCAGTCCCTCATGCTATATATCATACTATTTGTTTATGTTCGATTCTGGTTTTAATATTTACAAATGTTTCATTTCAGTCACTGAATGTTACCTTTCTTTATTTTAGTTAGTATTTTTAATTTACTTTGTTTACATTATGGTCAATGTTTTAGTATAAATACTTTAGGTAAATTTATTGTTTGCCCTTACGAATTTATGTTTTAATTTGTTTTAGTCCCTTAATTACTTATTTTTGTATTTTATTTTAGTTTGTAATGTTTATTTATTTTTATTTTAGTCCTATTAATGTATGTTATGTCATTTTTGTGGATATTTGATTTTGGTTCCAATGTTTGTAATAGTTTCATTTTAGTCACTAATTTCGTGTGTTGTGTATTTTTGTGGATGTTCGAATTTGGCCATGATATTTATGTTTCTTATATTTTAGCCACTGTTTGGTATTTGGTATAATTACTGTTTGAATCTTTAAGTTTCTGTTTATTCTAAAATTGACCACTGATTTTGTTCTGTTTTATTGTAGCCATTGATTAATCTAGTTTCTTTATTTTATGTTTCTGATATTGTAGTTTCAATTTACACAGTTTAGTCACTTGTCTATAAAGCTTAGTTATTTTATTTTATTTGCGTTATGGTTTGCCATGTTTGCATGTTTACATTTTAACCCATGTTATATTATTGCACTCATATTTTACTTTGGCCACAATGTTTGTATTAGTTTCATTTTAGTCATTGATTTTTGTATGTTGTATATTTTGGCTGATGTTCAAATTGACTCTAAGATTTGTAAATCTGTTTATTTTAGTCACTAGTTTGCATTCAGTTTAATTACTATTTTAGTCCCTACGTTTCTGTTTTGCTATTTTAGTCTTTTAATTTTCTATTTTTCTGTTTTAGCCCTTTAATTTATTATTACCATGTTAGTCATTGTAATTATTAAATACTTACTTTTTGGCCATTATATTTTGGGTTGTAACATTCTTTTAATCCCCTATGTATGTACATTTTTCATGTTATGTATTTATTTGTACCATATGTAATTAAATATGTTTGATTTTATTTGTTGTAAATATTTATTTCACATATTTCTATTTCTATTTATTTCCATTTTTCTTTATTTAAATATTGTCCAAATACTTGTAAGTACACGTATGCGTAGAATGAGCGTGGAAAGTATCACTTGGTCGAAGTGGTGCGATCCGATACGGCATTTTAACGACATAGGAACTTGCAACAAGTCGATTATATTTCACTAATTAATTTGTGCAAATGATGCAATGTGTGTTATATTAAATAGTAATTTATTTTATTTTATGTAAATGTCAATTTCAAATTTTGCATTTGTATTCAATTCACATTTTAGTTAATCAATTTATTTTGTTGTATGCAAACATCAATTTTATTTATATTCGATTCACATTTTATCAAGAGGGAAATATTCTTTATGGATGAGAAATAGTCGAGTTAGCTTTCCCGATGGAGGATTGCTAATTTCGAGATTTCTTTTCGAGTTAAAGAATTTTCTCTAATTATTTAATTCGAAGCAAATTAATCAACGTTCGATAAATAGATCATATTTTAACTTTATATTTGATTTATAATTTCCACCATTTACAACGATGTGTAAGCGACACAGTACCAGTTTTGGGCGTTGTGGGGGTGTTTACCCTTCCCCGCACGTAACCGACTCCCGAATCCATTTAAATGAATCTTTGGTAACGCAGACCGAATCTTGTCTTAAAAAATGATTTTTCTTAAAATTGTTTTAAAAGACGTTTTTAGGTATTCGACCTACCTAACCCAAAGGTTGATGGCGACTCTTTTTAATTTTATTCAAATCAATTCAAAATCACCCACATTTTTTTTTTCCAAATTAAAGTCATAATTGTTTTAAAAATAATATTTAATTATTTTAAAAAAAATGGTTATGACAGAGCCTATACCGGCTTTGCTAGCAGCGAACTTAGTTTTATGATTTCTGCAATGTAATTATCAAACGTTTAGCTGTCTATTACTCCATCGTTGTAGGGAGAAGCAGCAGCGCTGAGCGACAGGTATGGACTACCAATCGGGCTGCCTGTGGCTACAGCTGTGTTATGCAAGAAAAGGATTCAATACAAATCTTCTCACAGAATAGGTGCATTGTTTATTTGTCTTCTTACCCTCAATAAAGATGCCTGTGTTGCCCCGTAACAGAAATATCGCCCTACGGTCCACGAAAGACATTTCAACGCATGTTGTCTTATACATCTTTCCTGCATTTTGCCATTTTAAACATGTATACCGGTGAAAGACCAGTATCCTGAGATTTTCTTCTTCAAGGTTTTGATGTCGTGTGCTAATAGTTTGAAGATTTCAACAAATCCATGCCATGAAATGCCGCATTTTCCAAGTATAGATTCGTATCCCATGACATTAATGATCTGCTGCCGAATCTTTTGATCACTTGGTGTTTTGTAGAATATTCATGGATATACATGAGAGCCGACTCGGAAGGTTTGCACGAGATACGCAGATTGTCGGAATCCGGGAAGCTGAATATACCGGTCGAGAAAACATTTCCGATAACTCAAGTAAGAGAGGCTCATGAAGCTGAAGATAAGAAAGTAATCCTTGGTAAAATAGTGCTGGAACTTGACTAAAGCTGTATATAACGTCGGAATCTGTAAAATCTCGAGCATAACCCTTTATTATTTATTATAATCATTTTCCTGAAATTTTATAGTTGAACAGTTGGGATCATAAAATGAGAATTCAAATTTGGTGCTTTATTGAACCATCTAAATTTGTTTTATGTTGATCACTAGGGCTTGGACTGCCGAGCCATGGTTCAGACATCAAACCGAGTGATCACGAATCATGGGTCCAGTCCAATCACCTATAAGGTGTCTAATAAGCCCAAAGTACTTATCCCTGGCATAGATCGTAGCCCAAACAAGCTCCGCTTCCCAACTCATCACCGTCTTGTAATGGTAGCAACGAGTGACTCAAGCTTAGAACTTTTAAAACTATAAATTTGTAACATTTAAGTATAAGATTTTCTCTGTGTCCAAATCTGTAACATTTCTCACCATGCATAGACATAGACACTAGTAGATTCCCCATGTGTCCAAATCCCATATACTTTTGGATCAAAATCTTGAAATATCAATTATGAACCAATATATTAGTAGCATTACAGTTGTCTCCACAACATTGAATTAGGGCTTGGTTTAGAATGCCAAATCATCTACTTTAACCCTAATTTTCTTTTAAATTTTTTATTGGAAGGAATCTTACCAGCCTTTAAGCACCCAATATGGTTCTTTTGTCTCTATGTAATTGATTTGGTCAAAACCCCGAACACTCCTTTTTAAGAAAAACGCTTAGACCCTCATGAGTTTTGGCAGGCTTAATTAATTAACTAGAAGCTATAAATGACACGTGGGTAGCCCCACAGAACAAAGGCGTTGACGTGGCAAATAGGGGGTTGGCTGAATTGGTTGGAAAACTGGGGTGGTCCTTCCCACACCAAATGGGAGCTTTTAGACGTTATGTTAAATTTTCGGGTAAACTACAGGTTTAATACTTAAACTATTAATTTTAGTCCGTTTTAGTATTTAAACTTTCAGTTTTTGTAAAACCATACCTAATGTTTAGCTTTTATTTCATTTTAGTACCCGTTCAAAATTTAACTTTATGTTTTGAAAAATATTGAAAGTTTAAGAACTAAAACGGATCAAAACTGATTATTTTGGTACTAAAATGAAACAAAAACGAACTTTTGGTATGGTTTTGAAAAAAATGCGTAATTTATCCTAATTTGTTTTTTAAAACTCACGCGCTGCTCAAGTGCGAGTCTCGATGGAGAGCGTGGGGAGAGGTCCCTCTTCTGATTCTTTCAGCAGCTCATGGTTTTCGTACCCCCAAGTTCTTTTTTTTTTCCTTGATTTTTGTCCACGCGCCTCCCAATCATTATACATGTAACAACATGAATTCTTTTGGAAAAGAATTTTGGTCCTTAATTGATGTGATAAAACCCAGAGAATTACAATGCATTCGGTAGGGTTAAAGAAAGTCATGCACAGACAACAGGAAGGCGAGTGGGTGAAAAATGCTACTCCGTGTAGTTTAATTGAATGGCATGCATTCATCATTTTCATCCCAGCTCAGCCCACGTGCACATCTTCTCTTCATTTTCATTTATATCATAAAAATTCCACGAATGATAGTACCCCTTTATGGTTTCAACCCCATGTGCACCCACATAATTTCTGACTGGGGAGGGCAATTTAATTCGAATTTGGTAGGTTCTTATTCGATCTGATTTGATAAGGAAAAAATCGAATTTGGATCGTATCTGGTCGAATCTTTTAAGTGGGCGATCGGATCGGGTCTGTTTAAGATGGAGATGAAAAAAATGTATTCGACTCGATCCGAGAATAATAACGTAATTTCTTTAAATATTTATTATTTTTAATTAAATCTTAACTTATACATGTCGAGTCTGATCGGATCGAATCTATACTCTAAAAAATGGCGTCCGTCTGTCGACAAAAACCCAACCTTTGCCATCCCCAATTCCCACCATTGCCACTTCTGTTTTCACCGACTCCACACCAGAAAACGGCTACCTTCACTGTGAGTGTGTGGAGTGGAAGGAAGAGGTGGGCACACAGCACATGCACGTTGATTCATATTTCCAATGTGTGTGTATATATATATATATATATATATAAGTTTAAGTTTAATAGATGAGGAAAAGCATTGAGATAATTCTTTTCGAAACAGTATCAAAATTGTTATCAATATTTGATAACACGGGAAGCATGGATGGATCCACGAGACTGATAAGATGTTCGTAACACGACATTTTAAAATTATAATATTGTGACACGTATTTTAATTAATTAAATTCATTGTACTAATAATATTATAATTTGATTTGATTTGTTCAGAGATTATTACGTATGTTGTATCTAATGATTCTTCTTTTAATAATACAAGGCTGGGTCTTTCTCTTACAAGTCTTAGAAGAGACTTTTAACGAGGCTCGTTTCCTTTTAATATATATATTTGACATGAAATGATATATAATGACATAAAACAGTAAGACAAATACGTTCAATTATTCTTTTCATAGACTGCAATATGAAGTGAATTGTTAATTAATACTCAACTGAGACTGAATCAAGATTCCAACCACATCAAAACATTTTTTCATAATTACCTTCTATTCCCATATTCTTCTTTGAAAAATAAATATATATAAAACATTTATTATTTTTGATAAATTAAAAAAAATATTCTATCAAGTGATGACACATATCACTACATAAATAAAAAATTAAATTATTAAATAGAAATTAAAATCAAATTAAATGAATATGTAAAAGATAAGGACTAAATGTGTAAATATATTATTTTTAAATGTTATGTTAATTTTTTGGTTAAATATTAACGACATGTAACTTAATGTTATTGAAAATGTTTAAATAAGTAAATGGTATTGAACAAAAATTAAGAATCAATAATAAAATAAAATCCTCAACAATTAATTGGTCAGGGATGTAAGTTACGATAAAAATATTTAGGCTTATATTATAAATAGGATTAATTATAAAATAAATATTTAAATTATAGTGTTTTTTATAAATAGGTGTTTAATTTTTTTTAATAATTCAAGTGTTTAATGTTACAAATGTTATCACTTAGGTGTCCGGACCTTAACTACCATTAATTTTCTTCGTTAAGTGACACGAGTGATATTTTGGTAATTTTTTTTAAATAAATATTATAATATTTGTAAAAGCTTTAATTTCTCTTAAATTTAAAAAAAACTAAATCCTTAAAAATCATAAATCTCTAATCCTAACGACCGTCGTAGCCTTTTTTGGCCACGATTAATCATCGAATTGTGTGAGGTCACGATTTTTAACCTAGGTTCGCAGGGTACAAAATGTTGATCAGTTGTCGATTAATCGCGATTTCATAAGATTATTAATCGTTGTATGAGGTGAGGTCGGGTGAAATTTCATCAACAATAAAGGACGACGACCGACATGAGTTTATAGTTTGAAATAAGGATTTTCAAAGTTTTAGGCTATTTTGAAATTTTTATGTGTTTTTCTAAAATAACTTTAATTCTTTTAATTTTAAATATTTTTTAATTACCAAAATGTGACATGTGTCACTTAAAAGGAGAAAATTAACAATGTCTATGACCTGAGCATCTAAAGTGGTGAATTTTGTAACATTAGACATGAATCATTAAAAAAAAGTTAGGGCACCTATTTGTGAAAAGCATTATACTTTGGACTTATTTTATAACTAAGCCTTAGAAATAAGTATCTAAAGTATACTTTCTTTCATTTTTCTTTCATTTAAGTATCTATTTTTTGTCAAAATAAGTACCTAAATTTATATTTTTGTCAAAATAAATACATAAATTTATATTTTTGTCAAAATAGGTACCTAAAGTATTTTGGTCAAAATAGGTACCTAAAGTATTCAATTTTTTTCATCCAAGTTATAGAAAAGTTGACATGTGATACTAGTTAAATAATACTTAGTACTTAAATGGAAAAATTGAATACTTTATATACCTATTTTGACTAAAAAGATAAGTTTAAATACTTATTTTGAAAAAATATTTTAAATAAAATATATATCTTAAATAATTTTTTTGATATAAGTTAAATATTTATTCATATTGTACGAGTTTATATGTACATGAATAATATTTATTGAGTTATTGACTGATGCATAAATATAATTAAAACTATTCTTTATCATTTAAATTTTAAACTTTAAAAATAAAAAATCATAAAAAATATAAAATTATCTATTTTATTTCCATTGACAAATAAATTATCTATTTAAAAATTCCATAGGATTGACCAATCCTTAAGGTAACGTTGTAGATGTGGAGAGTACCAAACTTTGTTGAGACTTGACTTCAGTTCACTCTCAGCCCACCATTTGTTGCTTTGGTCCCCTTTTAGTAGGGATACAACGGGTCGGGTTCGGGTCGGGTATTGGTCTCCCGTCCCCGTTTAAAAAATTCATACATGTTCCCACTTAAAAAATCATGGGGATTTAAACGGGGATCCCCATCGAGTAATCGGAGAAAATTACGAGGAAACGAGTATTCTCGTTTAGCATAAACGATTATTTAAACGGATATCGGGCCGAGTATATATATATATTTTAATTTAAATTAAATTCATTAATAATATATATATATATATATATAATTATTTTTAATATTTATCGGGCCGGGTAATCGGGGCGGAGATTATCAAACTCGTCCCCATCTCCGTTTAGCATAAACGATTTTCCCTGTCCCCGTCCCCATTTAACATAAACGGTTTTTTTCCATTCCTGTTTAATTCGATTTTCAATTTTCCTCGTCGGGTTCTAATTTTTTTTGCCACCCTTACCTTTTAGTGACCTAAAACAACAAACTTCCCCCAAAAGATTTTCCCTAGAAAAATTTAAGGCTAATATTGTCATTTCACCTAAAAAAGAGAAAAAGAAAAGAGTTAATTACATTATATATCCCCAAACTATGACATTGATTTCAAATTAGTCCTTAAACTTTTAAGTATTTCAATTTCATCCCAAAACTATAGCTCTCATTCTAAATTAGTCCTTAAACTTTTAAATATTCCAATTTCATCCCCAAACTATGAATATCATCCTAAATCAGTCCCAAAAAATTTTCATCTTCAATTTTATCCCCAACTTCATCCAAATATGTAATCCACATCAACCATAGTTTAACCTAATTTTTTTTCTTCAAACATATAATAATATAATTTGGTCTAACGATTTTATTAACAAGAGATGTAATTAATATATACGTATAATTTAGGGTTAAATTGAAATGTTCAAAAAGTTTGACCAATTTAGAATGAAAATCATAGTTTGTGGATGAAAATGAAATGTTAAAAGTTTGAGGACTAATTTAGATTGATAGCCATAGTTTAGAGATGAAATTAAAATATTTAAAAGTTTAGAGATCAATTTAGAATAAGGGTCATAGATTGGGATGTATGATGCAATTAACTCAAGGAAAAGAGAAAAGAACATGCTAACACCCATGCTCCCCATCGGAACCAGAAAGTAAAGCAAGCTTACACTTTGCTAAAGACAAAACACCAGTTTCGTCCTCTTCATAAATAAAACCCTTCTCTCTCTCTCATATTAACCCTTCAATCATCACTCAACCATCGAACAAAGACCCCATTATTCTCCTCATGTTCATCCATTTACTAGACTAGACTATCCACAAACCAAACATCTCTCTCAAAAACGTTTCTTTTTTAGGTTTGCTCTTCTTGCTATGTAAATGGTCTTATCAAAGCAGTAAAAATAATGGATCTTGAGAGACCCCATCGAAGTAATAGCATCAAAAACAGTAGCAGCAGCAACGCAACAAGCGAGCTCTTCATTTGTTTCTCATCACGTCTTTCTTCATCTTCAATGAAGCTCCCTTCAAAATCAATCCTTAGTCCCGGTCGTACAAGGGAGCCTTCACAAATCTCTCTCTCTTCATCGCTTACCAGGAGATTGAAAACGAACGGTAGCATGAAAGGTGGCCAAGCTTCACCGATGTTCCCGACCAACGGCAAGAAGCGAGGGTGTGCTTTTGAGAACCCTGAACCTTCTTCCCCCAAGGTTACTTGCATAGGTCAGGTTAGGGTCAAGACAAAGAAACAAGGCAAAAAGTTTAGAGCTTGCGGATCTACGAGAAGAGGGGAAGTTAGTTTCAGGAAAGTGGAGGATGTCAACAATGGAGGTCTTGATGCAAGTAGCTGTCAAGGTCATGTTTTGAGCAGCAATAAGAAATGGGTGCAATTTCCGATGACCATTTGTGAAGCGTTGAGGGCGTTTGGGACTGAGTTCAACTGCTTCTTGCCTTGTAGGTCTTCTTGCATGGCTAACCATAGGGACAAAGAGGAGAAAGCAAGAGGGTCCGGTGGGGGTTCTTGTGGGGCTGTTTGTGCAAGGTGGTTGGTGGCTGTGCAAGAAGGGGAAGGGGAAGGGAAAGGGAGGGAGATTGAGTTGGTGGTCGGCGGTGGGGAAGATGATGAGAGAAGTGAAAGTGGTCAAAGGAGGCATGTTTTTGAGGATATTGTAACAAGTGATTCTGGTAATAAAAATGTTGGTGATGAAGATGAGAAAGGAGGAGAAGCGGCAAGGGTGAGTATTTGTATACCACCCAAGAATGCTTTGTTGTTGATGAGGTGTAGATCTGATCCTGTTAAAATGGCTGCTCTTGCTAGTAAGTTCTGGGAAACTCCATTGCCAAAAGATAAAGAACACCAACAAGAAGATGAACAAGAGGAGCAAGAAGAAGAAGAAGCTGGAAATGGAAGTGATGAGAAAGATAAAGAACAACAAGATGAACAAGAGGAGCAAGAAGAAGAAGCTGGAAATGGAAGTGAAGAGAAAGAGGACCTAGAGGGTGATGCTGTGGAAGTGGAAAAAGAGGAAAGCAAAGTTGAATCTTTTGAGGAAGCAATTGAACACCAAGAAGCTAGTGAAGTTAGTGAAATGTTTGTTTCTTGTGCAGCAACCGAGGAACAAGAAATCACAGAAACTGAGGCTGAAACAGAGGCAGAATCTGCTTTGGCAAGGGATGGAACTGATGAAGTAGAAGAAGAAATTACGGGAACAAACTCAAAAGAAGAAACAATTATAGAATGTCAACATCAAGAAGAAGAAACTGAAGTAAAAGAGAACCAGGAAGAATCAAAAGAAGAAACTTTACCCCAAGTTTCATTTGAACTTGACAAGCTTAATGTTGAAGAGCTGCAAGCAAATGAAAGTACAAGTGTTGAAACAGAGGAAGAGGGTTCAACTTCAACCGTGGAGGATGAAGAAACAGAGACGACCCACGAAAGATCCGAATCCGAATACCCGGAAATGAAAGAACCGGACCCGGAAATTGAGTCAAAGGAAGGTCAAGAGAAGATATTGCCAGATTGTTTACTGTTAATGATGTGTGAGCCAAAGCTGTCAATGGAGTTATCCAAGGAGACTTGGGTGTGTAGCACGGATTTTATCAGGTGTGTACCGGAGAAGAAAAAGAATCACCAACAGCAACAGCAGAAATCAGAAGTCAAACAAAAGCACAGTCGAGATCAGTCCAAAGAAAGGAACAGCATTGACCGTAATCCTGCTCCTATTTTGTTACATCCTCCTAGGTCTTCTTGCTCTTTCCCAGTAGCTCCACCGATGGTTACGGCGGCAGCAGGCGGCGGCTGGACTACGATTGATAAGAAGCTTGTTGGGGGTAAAGGGTACGAGTCGTTTATTCTCACGCGCTGTAAGTCGGAGCCAAGGAGGTCCTCCTCTAAGCTTGCGCCAGATGCTTGCTTTTGGAATAATATGAAGCTTGAGCCGGCTGCACTCGGAGTTGGTGCGGCTGGAGTTGGTTTTTGATTAACCGAGTTTTATGAGATCAGTAAAAAAAAAGTCTTTGGGGTTACTTTCTCTGTTTTCTTCCCTGTTTTAGATGCAGTAAAACTGTAAAATCTGTAGTTTTGTACAACAGTTATATTTTACTCGTGTATTTTTTCACTTTGGATGAATATGTGACATGGTGATAATGATGGCTGGAAGGGAAAGCAATAGAGTGACAAAGGATCCAACGAAGATCAATTTTGAGCCGTTAGATTGGTTTGATGGGTCACACAATGAAAAATAAATGGTCTGAATGATTTGATGCGACATGCGAACAAAATTATTGAAGATATGATGTCTTTGGTTGGGTTAGGATGTTTTCAAAGGCTCCAAATAATTTGGGGTCCCAGTCCCCAATGGGTTCAATTTCATTCCCCTCTCTCTCTCTCTATATATAAACACATACTAAGAGAGTCCAAATTTCAATCTGAAAAAACATTATATGAGAAGATAACTTGGAATATAGATTATCTAAGGTATAAATTTCAACAGATGCCATTGCATCATAGTTGAGCGGAGTTTTGGATTAGCATGCAAATTGCAATGTCATCACCGGGTTTTTCTTCAATATGGTTTCCCACTTAATGTATTTCTGTGACCAAATTGAAGAATTGGTAAACATTAAAAAGCAGCACAAAAGAGAAGACTAACATTACAGACAAAAGTTAGTGTAGTGGAGGCTTTTATGGAAAAGGAAAACATTTTTTCTCTTTGATTTTATGAGCAAAAAGAGCACAGACATGGAAAATGCTGATGCAATACACTGTAAAAATGTGTTTCTTTTGCAGATACGATCATGGATCGGATCCTAGGCTTTGTTTTTCCTACTTTACTGCCTTTCATCATTTTAAGTGATTCTACTAATCTATGTTACAAGCTCCAATTATCTCTCAATCATCCAATAAACGATCATTTCAAGGTTAAAGCACCTGGCAGGTCCATCTACATAGGAACCAATTCAAATTAGTCCCTTTACTATTAAATGGATCAACTTTGTCCTGCTGAGACAATAAATGTCATTTTCTTTAAACAATCAATGTTAACTCTATTAAAAAAATTTCATAGTTCCTTTTACTAGTACAAGGACTAATTTGATCCAGGACTGTTCTGAACCAGTGCCTAATATAGAGGGTCTGGCCACGTAGTTTCACCTAATTTTCAATTATCAACACAATTGGATCAGTCAAATTATTTTTGAATAGCAATGTCATAATACATCTCAAGTTCCCAAAGACATTCAACAGCATATTGATCATAGCTCGTAATCAGTTCACAACCATTAATTTTCAGTTTCCAACGATCTCTTGATTATCATTGTTGTTTCTAGTATAGTTTAGCACACATTATTGTATTGGACAAAGGCACAAAGCAACCCTTAATTAACAGAAACTAAGCTGCATAAGATAATAGACAGGTACATTAAGCACCTGTAACCTGCATTATCGTATTATATATAGAGAAGTTATATTTTGCAGCCCTTAAATATTCCCTACATTACATTCTTCAAATTCATTGTCATCAAATCGATCATAAGAACAGAATAAGAGATTAGACAGCAAGAAAGTAACTTGGAAGAAATTCTATCCCCAAGCAAAGATTGAAACATATCAAAGGGAGCATCAAGGAGAAAAATGGGGGGAAGTGCTTACCCCCAAAAGCCTACTCAATCTATAGAGAGGATGTAGACATCAAATTTTTGCTCCGCCCTTCCTCCGTCTCGATATCAAAGAAGTCCTGAAGTGCAATCATGTTAATGGCGCTCGACTTCAAGCTTTTGATTGCTTCAGCACTTGCCAAGGCTCCATCAACGGTTGTTATTATAGGAACCTTGTAAGCAAGGGCCATTCTCCTCAATTCCCGACCATCAATCTGATCAAGTGCATCAAAAGAGCTCGTGATAACCATCAACTGGATTTGTCCATTTGCAATCATATCACCAGCATGTGGCCGCCCTTCGTGCAATTTCAGCACTCGTTCAACTGGGATACCTTTTAGTTCAAGAAAGTGAGCTGTCCCGGATGTTGAAACGATATGGAATCCCAGCCCCAAGAAAGCTTTTGCGATTCTTTCAAGATAGGGCTTTGTCAAGTCATTTAAGCTGAGGAAAATTGTGCCAGAAAATGGTAGCCTCTGCCCAGCAGCAATCTGAGCTTTTGCAAATGCTATTGCAAACTCAAAGTCAATGCCCATCACCTCACCGGTACTTCTCATTTCAGGACCCAGCAACACATCACAGCCTTGGAACTTCTCAAATGGCAGAACAGCTTCCTTAACTGACACATGTTTTGGAGTCACCTCTTCCGTAAAATCTAGATCATTAAGTGACTTTCCCGACATAACAAGAGCAGCATATTTAGCAAGTGGGTGCCCAATTGCCTTGGAAACAAATGGCATGGTACGTGAAGCACGGGGATTTGCTTCAAGTAAGAAAACATCAGTGGAAGCTGTGATTGCATACTGACAGTTCATGAGTCCGCAGACATTTAGCCTCTTAGCCAGTTTTGTAGTCCATGACCTTATAGTGTCTAAGCAAGAAGATGCGATGGTTTGCGTGGGAATTGAACAGGCAGAGTCACCAGAATGGACCCCAGCCTGCTCAATGTGCTCCATTATGCCTCCAATCACCACATTACCATGTGAATCAAGCAAGTGCGTCGACATCAATCTCGATTGCATCAGATAAGTACTTGTGTATCAGTACGGGCCGCTCTGGGTCCACCTCAACAGCATTCTCTAGATATGTCAAGCTTTTCATCATTATATACAATCTCCATTGCTCGGCCACCCAATACATATGAAGGTCGGACGACTACAGGGTAACCTATATCTTTAGCAATGGCAAGAGCATCGTCTTCACTTTGCAATCCCTCCTTTTGGCTGCTCAATCTTTAACTCCTTCAGGATTGCATTGAACCTCTCTCTGTCCTCAGCTGCATCGATGGAATCTGGAGATGTACCCCATATGTGAACATGTCCAGCTCCGCTGGCAGATAAAGGCTGATGCTTATCTAAGCAATTCTGGATAGGTAGAGCCAGCTTAAGCGGTGTTTGACCTCCAAACTGGACAATGATGCCATCAGGTTTTTCTAAATCAATTACGTTTAGAACATCTTCAACTGTCAGGGGCTCAAAGTAAAGACGATCACTGGTATCATAATCAGTGGATACAGTTTCGGGATTTGAATTCATCATGATTGTTTCAAATCCAGCTACCTGCAAAGAGGAAAATCACGAAAAAGAGATTGGACAGAAAAAATCAGTAAATTTATCAAAACACTGAAATCTCCATAAATAGCTTCAGATTATTGAATGTATGGAAGCATAAACAGGAAACAGCGAATGCAAACCTGAAGCATATGATGTATGGCACCAGCAGTAGTCAAACTCAATCCCCTGACCAATACGATTCGGTCCACCACCCAAAATCAGAACCTTCTTCTTTACGGTAGGAGCTGATTCACACTCGAAATCGTAAGAGGAGTACATATAAGGAGTGTTGGCCTCAAACTCTGCAGCACAGGTATCAACCCTCTTATATGCCGGAACAACTCCCAAAGATATCTGCCTTTCCGGACTTCTTCCTCTGAGGACTTAGTAGCAAAGGCTATCTGCTTATCACTGAAGCCTCTCTTTTTAACTTAATAAAATTCATCCTTTGTCAGATCAGACAAACTTCGGGTCAAAAGATACTGCTCCACATCAACTAATTCTTTGAATTGAGTCAGAAACCATTTGTCAATGAAACTCAGATCTTATATTTCATCTACTTTCATCCCCTTCTTCATTGCAGCATACACAGCATAGATTCGTTCTGGGCTGGGGACTCTGAGACTATACTTCAATTGATCCCAATCCCAGCCAAGCTCTTTAATGTCGGCACATCCCCATCCAGAGTAGCCGCATTCCAGTGATCGAACTGACTTCTGAAAGGATTCCTGAAATGTACGGCCTAGGGCCCTGGATTCGCCAACAGATTTCATCTTCGTTGTCAATATCGGTGGAGAACCAGGGAATTTCTCAAACGCAAACCGTGGGATCTGCATCATTCGGATAGATGAAAAAATTTAGAAAATAAAAGAACTTGTCAGGTGATAATATAAAATCACATGCAAGTAAACAAAATAGTGGATGCTAACTCAATCCCGGCACAAGATTATTCCTCTCAACAAGGCAATTGAAACATACAGATTAATAGTCTAGACTATTGTTCCTTCTACAAGATGCATCATCCTGCTGTAATCGAGTGATCTTAACTACTTTTAAACAAATTCCTCACCTTAGTCACCACATAATCGATAGAAGGCTCAAAACTTGCTGGAGTCTTCTTGGTAATATCATTAGGAATCTGATCCAATGTGTATCCAACTGACAACTTAGCAGCCATTTTCGCAATAGGAAACCCTGTAGCTTTTGAAGCCAAAGCAGCACTTCTCGAAACTCTTGGATTCATCTCAATGACCATAACTTCACCATCAACGGGTTAACGGCAAATTGCACATTTGAACCTCCACACTCAACACCAATCTCTATAATAATCTTAACACTATAGTCCCTCAACCTCTGATACTCCTTGTCGGTCAACGTCTGCGCCGGCGCCACAGTAATCGAGTCCCCCGTATGCACTCCCATTGGATCAATATTCTCAATTGAACAAATGATCACAACATTATCGGCCAAATCCCTCGTGACTTCAACTCATATTCTTTCCATCCAGCAACGATTTCTCAACTAAAACCTGGGATGTCAAACTAGCAGCTAAACCTGACTTACAAATAGCCTCGAATTCTTATTATAAGCTATCCACCCCCGGTACCTCCTAAAGTAAACGCCGGCTTATGATCAATGGGAACTCCCCGATTTCACTAGCTATTTGGATACATTCATCTAAAGTGTTCCCTATCCCTGAAGGTGGAGTTTATGTTATGGACTGGATTTACTAGAGAAGAAATATTGAAGAAGAAATAGGTTTTAGAAGAAGAAATAAGAGAGATTACAAAAAGAAGTTTTCATTCATTCATTTCCTGAGCCTCCCATGCTCTACAAGCAGATAATTTATTTAGTTACACTTATAGTACTGCGAATCTAGCTATGTCAGCTGGCATTTACAAT